ACATTATGTCTTGTGCAGTGCAAATATGCTTAAAGTGATTTAAGTGATGAAGTGAAAACAATGTCCAGAATGTCCAGTGTGTGTGTAAGAACTATATGTGTGGGTCAGTACTGTGTGGTGGTGTGATTGAGAGACCGTATCGCCTGCGGGAAGAAGCTCCTCCTCAGTCTCTCTGTGTTGGTCTTCAGGGAGCGGAATCGCTTTCCTGACCTCAACAGAGAGAACAGTCTGTTGTTGGGATGGCTGAGGTCCTTCACGATCTTCCTGGCCTTGGTCCAGCACCGCCTGCTGTAGATTGAGTGCAGGTCAGGGAGCTCGGAGCGGATGGTGCGCTCAGCTGATCGCACAACCCTCTGTAGAGCTCGTCTGTCCTGCATGGTGCTGTTCCCGAACCAGGTTAAGATGTTTCCCGTCAGGATGCTCTCTATGGTGCACGAGTAAAAGTTCCTGAGCACCTTGGAGGGCAGTTGGAAGTCTCTCAAGCGTCTGAGGTGGTAGAGACGCTGACGGGCCTTTTTCACCATGGTGTTGATGTGACAGGACCATGACAGGTCCTGCGTGATGTGAACTCCGAGGTATTTGAAGCTGTCCACTCTCTCCACTGGGCACTCGTTGATGACGGGGGTCTGGTAGTTCCTCTCCTGCTTAGTGCTGAAGTCCACTATCAGCTCCTTTGTCTTACTGACGTTTAGAAGGAGGTTGTTCCTCTGGCACCAGTTCTCCAGATTCCTAATCTCCTTCAGGTAGGCCGTCTCGTTGTTATCAGAGATCAGGCCCACCACGACGGTGTCGTCAGCAAACTTGATGATGGTGGTGGAGCTGGTAGTGGCCACACAGTCATATGTGTACAAAGAGTACAGCAGGGGGCTCAGAACACACCCCTGGGGGGCTCCAGTGCTGAGAGTGGTGGAGGCTGAGACATGTCCGCCCATCCTTACTGCCTGTGGTCTGCCAGTTAGGAAGTTGGAGATCCACTGACACATAGATGAGCTGAGTCCCAGATGCTCCAGCTTGGTGGTGAGTGTGGAGGGAATTATGGTGTTAAATGCAGAGCTGTAGTCTATGAAGAGCATTTTAACATAATTCCCCCTTCTAGTGTCCAAGTGAGTGAGTGATGTGTGGAGGAGATGAGAGATGGTTGAGAGAGATGAGAGATGGAGATGAGAGACAGTTCGTAGAATTGGAAAAAATCGCCTCTGTCAGTGCGCCCCAGGGTGGCTGTGGCTACAATGTAGCTTGCCATCACCAGTGTGTGAATGTGTGTGTGGATGGGTGGATGACTGGATGTGTAAAGAGCTTTGGGGTCCTTAGGGACTAGTAAAGTGCTATACAAATACGGGCCATTTACCATTTACCATACATAGAAGTGAAGAAGTTAAAGAATTGAAAACAATGAGGGAGGGAGGGTGGGGCGTGTAAATGAGAATGAACAGCTTGCAGAACTGGGGGAACCTATATAGATGATAACCGGAAGGAGCGTGTTTGGAGGTGCGGTCTGGCTCCTGAAATTCCGATACATAATCTCCAATTGTGTCATGCAATTAGCAGCTATGGAGCCTGCAGCAGTCTGGTAAACTCACTTCTTTGTAACAACTCATTATTGGTGATGCACTTTTTTCATGTCTGTGTATTTTTAGATACACAGATAGAAATATTCTTCTTGAAACAGAACTGAAGTCCCCAAACTCACAGCTGATTTTCCTTCCAGTTGCTTATAATCAGAGCAAAATCATACTTTGGACAGTCTAATAACTTAGCTCACATCTAGGGTAGACAGATTGTTGAATACTGAAAGAGTGAAATGATGACATGAAGTAGAATGTGACCTATCCTTAATCTTAATACTATATTATAGATAATTTCTCTGTAACACAGCTCAAACACTCTGCTTCCCATTATATGTCTAGAAAGATCTACACACCTCATACACCTGCTAGTTGTTGATTTAGTTCTCACACATTTTATCTGTTTGTCATCCTCACTCATGAGTACCAGGCACACAGATCTTCAGTGACGCCCTCCCCCGTAACAGCCTGTGGCCTTCTCAGAGTTTACGAGAAGTTCAGGGCAACAAAACTGAGCGCTGTAAAAACATTACAGTACATTACTGCGTTGATGTGATAGATTTTCTTTCCACAATAAGCTTGAGGGATCGTCTAAGCAGAAGTTTGGCAAAGGCTGGTTAAAGCATTACGTTGGCTAAACCAGTGCAGATTAATGTCAGTGATATATTTCATATTAGTTTGTAAAAAGCAACAAAAACAAAACAACTGGATGCTATAGAAGAAAAACTATATAAATAAATATCTTGAAATTTAAACCAACTATCAATCTGGAGTGACTCAATCTTGCTATCCTCAACAGCAGGTATACCTGCAGGTCAAGGTGCAGGCCACAGTGGCAATTTACCATAACAAAGAGAAGTAGGAGGGATGTGAAGAGCAGAAAACAAACTGGTATTGTAATTAAGAAGTTCTTTACAAGGTAACAATGGCTAACTGCACCTGTGTTTGTGACTCTGCCTAAATTAGTGTGTTTGTTGTGTGAAGTGTGTCTCTCCCAGTGAGGTAGGGAACCAGCTGCAGTGACACAAAAGCGGAAGCAATGTGCAAGTGGAAGCTATGAAGCAATAAAAGGTGTGTAAATGAGCTGGAATTGCAATAGAGCACCAACAGGGGGGAAAAGAGTATGCGAAAAGAGCCACAATAACATTTCCCTTTTTTCACTAATAATACTGGTCTTAATATATCAGTATCAAAAAAAGACATTGCTTTTATCACTGTTCAAACATGCTGGACAATACTAGACGTCCTTTCACAGGTCTGTAAATTTTCAGTAATTCAGAATTTCAGTAATTCAGAAAAATTTTAAAAACGGTGGCGTGGACACACAGCGGTTGTGAGCTCCTGCTCAAAATCAGCATGGAATAAATTGATAAACATTTCATACATGGAAGCGCTACGAGTTACACTAAGGAACTGAGGACTGCTTTGGAGGCATTTACCATAATGCGACCCCCACTACAAGATCTCCCCCACAGTGGATACGTCTCAGGTGGTGCAACAGAAAATAGAAGAGGGGTAAGTAAGTTTGTGGAAACATGGCTTAACAATAACATTCCCGACAGCAACATTCAATTCGACCGCGCCACATCTCCTACACTCACGGACTGTTTACTCCAGAGATCAGCTGATCACCCTGATGCCGGCCGGCTCGCTGGCCAGACCTGCAGAAGTATCAGCTGAAATTTGGAGGAAAACACATCGGGGATGCAGAAGTCAAGGACAGAAGAGAAGAAAGAAGCTATTCATTTTACATCAAATTAAAACTTTGGGTGTAAGATTCGGATAATTATTTATTAAAAGCTAGACATTTTAAATGAGAATAAGAAAGAAAAGTATGTCTTTGTGCCCCCTTTTCCCTGTTAATGCCCTATCGGCCCCCCTGGCTAAACTTTGCTAGATCCGCCCCTGCACAGTTACCAGCGTCAGCTACGTAGAAAAAGATCCTGGTGTAGAAAGTAATATTAAATAAATTCTAACAACAGCTTATCAAGCTTAAACGTGCTGCTGTTGTTCAGCCGCTGGTTTCCTCTTTCTGGTGCAAAGTGGGCCAAAAGCAAACAAGAGAGACGGACTCGCGACAGAAAAGCCGATCAGCTGATCGTTAAGCAGTTTCATGATTGAAGTAGCAGCAAGAAGAGGCAGTCGCTCGTTAAGCTTAACGCAGGAATGCTTTACAAACATTCAGAGATGGACTTACACACTTGCTATTACTTCTCTCGGGATAACTTTGTCGGAGATGAAATGCCGGGTTGGTAGCGAAGCTCCAAATGCTATCCAGACCACCGACAGGTCCCGCATGCCACAGCCGCTCTATCACGTGATGCATACTGCTCCAACGTGCTAACGTTCTGAGGTGAGTTACGGCGTGTTGCAAGTTTTGTGAGGTGCTTTCGTGATATTTAATGGATCGGATTACATTTTTTATTTTTCTCCGATATCCGATCCAGTAATTTAGGTCAGTATCAGACCGATACCGATACGTAATATCGGATCGGTCCATCTCTATTGAAACAGGGGTCAAGTGTTTCCTGGTCTTCCTGAAGTCTACGATCAGTTCCTTGGTCTTTGCCACGTTGAGCTGCAGATGATTCTGCTCACACCACGTGACAAAGGAGTCGACCACAGCCCGGTACTCTGTCTCATCATCCCTGCTGATGCATCCAACCACCGCAGAGTCATCAGAAAACTTCTGAAGATGGCAGGTCTCTGTGCAGTGGCTGAAGTCTGTGGTGTAGAGGGTGAAGAGGAAGGGGGAGAGGACAGTCCCCTGTGGTGCCCCTGTGTTGCTGATCACCTTGTCAGACACACACTGTGGGAGACGTACATATTGTGGTCTTCCTGTCAGGTAATCAACAATCCAGGACACCAGAGAAGCATCCACCTGCATCGCTGCTAACTTATCACCCAGGAGGGTCGGCCTGATGGTATTGAAAGCACTAGAAAAGTCAAAAAACATGACCCTCACAGTGCTCGCCGGCTGGTCCAGATGGGTGTAGACACGATTGAGCAGGTAGATGATGGCGTCCTCAGTTCCGAGACGAGGCTGATAAGCGAACTGAAGGGGATCCAGATGTGGTCTTACTATGGGTCGCAGCTGGTCCAGGATGAGCCTTTCCAGGGTCTTCATGATGTGGGAGGTCAGTGCCACGGGCCTGTAATCCTGGGGGCCACTGGGATGTGGCGTCTTTGGTACAGGGACGAGGCATGATGTCTTCCACATCACTGGGACCCTCTGCAGACTCAGACTCAGCATAAACAGTTTATGAAAGACTCCACACAGCTGGGGGGCACAGGTCTTGAGGACGAGGGGACTCACTCCGTCTGGTCCAGCAGACTTGCCTGAGTGAAGTCTCCTCATTTGCATCTCAACCTGGTATTGAGTGAAGGTGATGGGTGGGGGAGGGGTGTCAGGAATCTCACAGGATGTCACGGTCTGTGGAGGCAGACCGTGCGGAAATGTGTGTGGTGGACCCAGGAGCGAACACAAGCGAGGATGCAGGAGTGGAGTTAAACAAAAGCGAGCCTTTTATTCTGGCTGATGAAAGGAACAAAACAGAGTGAGGGTGTTGTGCCCTTAAACAGGGGAAATAGTGAGGAGAGGTGAAAGAAAGGCACAGACACGCAGCTCTCACTCTCACTCGTCTGTATTGAGTGAAGGAGGAAGCGCGCGAACCCACCTACTGGAGCCCTGAGGCATTAACAATGGATCGACGCACAATCAACCCAGGCAAAACTTTCACTACTTATCTCCCTCTATATTCCCACTGCATATTCTATTCGAAAACAGTCAAAGCAACAAATAAAACATTAATAAGGGCATGACATGAAATGTAAGGAACAGAGATGTACAACTTCAAAACTAATCAAATTTATGATCCACCACATACTCCCCCTCAGAATAGATGTTGTCCTCAACATCCAAATGTTTAACATTTAGCACAAACGTGGAGTTATGACCATTAATATCACCAAAACCACATACAATAAACCATTGCATACTATAACTGTTTCTTGTACCTTATATGTACTCTACAAAAATAGTTTCACAAGCTGGAACTCTTTTCATACATTCTTTAGTGTGGGTTATTACCCAAAGTCTTTCAGTGTTCTCATACAGTCTGTATGAATTACAGTGTCCATGCAGTTACATTAACACAGTCTGCTGCTGGCTTGAGAACAAAGTCATTTTAGTGCAGCTTGTCAAAGCAGTCACTCTCTCCTTTGACAAATGTCCATGAGAGTGATACAAGTGGCCGTAGCCATGTGGTGTGCTTTGGATGTGTGTGTTAAGCTGCAAGCACAATATGAATCAGTTCAATGTCCAAAAGTCACTTTGAATATGAATTCTGTGTTAAACAGTCCATTTCCTTGTGGTTGGTGTGGAGTGTAAGTACATTGTCTCTGTTCAGTAATGTGTTTCGTGTGTGATCACAATGTTTCTTTTCACTCAAGTCCATACAGTTATCAGTGGCAGTATGCCTGAACAGTCCGTGGAACCATGAAGTGTGTATGATGTGATGGTGTTCTCAGGTTATAACAAGCTGGTGAACCAAGCCGATCATATGTGAAGATCTTTGGTGGCTTGCGCTCTCTACTCGGTCGCTGATGCTCTTGCTCACAGGTCCTGCTGTGTTTGTCTGGAACAGGTGCAGGAACAGGTTCCTCCACTGATGGTTCCTCGACATAATTTTCCTCTTGGTCGGGTAGTTGTTCACATTGGTTCAGTACTTCATGTTCATTCTCTGGCTCAGATGACATGTTTTCCACTGTTTGAAGGTGTTTGGCTGGTTCATCAGTGCTCATAGGATTCAGTGTCTGAGGATAAAGTGGCTCAAATGGCTGCTGAGATGACACTGGATAGTACTCATCATCGTCATCCTCTTCCTCAGCTTGTTCCACTTCCTCACTTGTCTCCACGGCTCTTTTTCTTGTTCGTGGTCGCACTTCAGTTTCAACAGGCAGATGGTCACATGGCAGAAGAAGATTGCGATGCAATATCCTTGATCTCCCTTTTGCTTTCTCAGGTCTGAGTTCATAAACTGGGATATCTCTGCTGACCTGACGAACGACTGTGTGAACCACATCCTCCCAGTGGTTCCTCAGCTTGCCTGGACCTCCTCGAGGTGTCATGTTCCTTATTAAAACACGATCACCTGGCTGTAATACTGAGCTCTTCACCTTGCTGTCATAATGTCTTTTACTTCTTACAGCTGCTTTATGAGCATTTTCTCTCGTGATCTCATATGCTTCTTCCATGCCTTGTTTCCATTTTACCATGTAGTCATGATGATTGCCATCTCCTTGTTCTGAGGTCAAGCTGAACAGCATGTCGATTGGCAATCGTGGGGAGCGTCCGTATAACAAGTAAAAAGGGGAAAATCCAGTTACCTCGCTGCGGGTACAATTATAGGCATAAATCAGTTTGTTAAGCGAGTCCTTCCAGTTAGTTTTCTGACTCTCTGAGAGTGTTTTCAGCATCTGGAGTAGTGTCCTATTAAACCGCTCCACTTGTCCATTCCCTTGGGGATGGTAGGGAGTAGTCCTGGACCCAGCAACTCCACAGTAGTTTTTCAGTTGTGCAAACAGATGATTTTCAAATTCAGCACCTTGATCATGATGTATTCGTGCTGGAAAGCCAAATCTTAAAGCATAGTCATTAAAGATTTTGTCTGCAGCCGTTTTACCTGATTTGGAAGTTGTGGCATACGCTTGGGCGAAGCGTGTGAAATGGTCAATGACTACAAGGATGTATTCATAACCCCCTTTGCACTTGTCAAGGTGCAGGAAATCAATTGAGACAAGTTCAAATGGGTGAGTAGTGACAATATTAGTCAGTGGTGCTCTGCTCTCATGACACGGCTTCTTCTGTTTTATGCAAACACACCTTCTGGTCACATAATCCTCTACTTCCCGTTGCATATAGGGCCAGTAAAACCGGTCCCGTATCAGTGACAATGTTCTCTCTACACCTTGATGGCCCATTTCATCATGTAGCTCCTTTAGTACAGTACTTTTGTGTATTTCTGGTAGGACCAACTGTTTTCTGTTTGCTGTTTTTCTGTGCAAGATCCCATTCTCATCCATCTCCAATTTGTCCCACTCCCTCAGGAGACATATGACCTGGGGGCTGAGTTTTCTTAGTTCTGAACGTGATGGTTTTTCCTGTGTTAGTTTACACTGAATTACAGGTCCAATAGTCGGATCACTTCTCTGGTCCTGTTTGATCTGGCCTTTTGTCAGTGGAATGATGGAAACATCTGTGGCCATGGCTGAACACCTGACTGAGACACCCATGGACCATGACACATTGGAGTCATCCTGCCTTTCCACTGCCTGTGTGGTTGCTCCAATTGCATCGTATGCCATTTCCTCTGTGCATTCATTCATAAACGTTTCCATGTCTACCGGCATCCTGGAGAGGCTGTCTGCATCCACATTTTCTTTACCAGGGCGATATTTAATTGTGAAGTGAAAATCTGCCAGTTCTGCTACCCATCGACACCCTGTTGCATTCAGTTTGGCAGTGGACAGTACATAGGTAAGTGGATTATTGTCGGTGTACACGGTGAAGAATGGTGCATAATATAGGTAATCACGGAATTTTTCTGTGATAGCCCACTTGAGAGCAAGAAACTCTAACTTGCCTGAATGCAGATGGTAATTCTTCTCAGCTGCAGTTAAAGTGCGGGAACCATAAGCAATCACACGAAGCTTCCCATTCTGCTTTTGGTACAACACGGCACCTAATCCCTGGTTTGACGCATCAGTGTGAAGGGTGAATGGCTGTGAAAATTCTGGAAAGCCTAGAACAGGGGGCTGAGTTAGACAGTCTATCAGCTGCTCTAGTGCTAACTGGTGCATGTCGGTCCACTCAATAGGTGTACTCGAAGGGACACTACACCTGTTTCGCTTTGTTTGCCACTTTAATCTTGTGTTTCGCTGGGTCTCAGCATCTGCAGGTCCCTTGAGCAAGTCATACAGAGGATTTGCAATTCTGGCAAAATCCTTGATGTATTGTCTGTAATAACTTAGTAGGCCCAACATTGCTCTTAGTTCACCAACAGTACCTGGCTGTTTGTTTTTCAAAGCTGTTACAGCAGCAGTGTCTGCGGAGTCTATCCTGCTTCCCTCTGCTGACACAATCCTGCCAAGGTACCTCACTTCTGTCCTAAACAGGTCACACTTCCTTGGTTTGAGTTTGATTCCGTACTCCCTGAGTCGGCGCAGCACTTTCCTGACATCCTCAACATGATCCTCAAACGTTCTGCTAAAGACAAGGACATCATCGAGGTAAGGCACACATATTTCATCCCTTAACCCTTCTAAGCACTCCTCCATGCAGCGTTGAAATGCTGCCGGAGCATTCATCAGTCCAAATGGGATTCTGACCCACTCATACAGGCCCCAGGGGGTCACAAAAGCTGTTAGGTGTTTACTGTCTTTGCCCATGAACCCCTGGTGGTATGCTTTACCCTGGTCCAGTAGAGAAAAGAGAGTGTTGCCACCTAAGTTGTCCATGATGTCTTGTACTCTGGGAATGGGGTGGCGGTCTGGGTGAGTCTTCCTATTCAGCTCTCGGTAGTCAATACACAAGCGCAGTGTACCGTCTTTTTTTCTTACACAGACTACCGGAGAGGAGTAAGATGAGTTTGATTTTTCCACCCACCCCTGAGCTATTAGGTCCTGTAGGTAGTTTTTCATTTCCTGATACAAGGGTTTTGGTACAGAGAGATAAGTCCGTGCGACTGGCTCATTATCTTTCAACGAAATGTTCATTTGCAAGTTTTCAACACAGCCTATGTCATCATCAGATTTAGAGAATGACTCTGACTCTTCTCTTAACATCTGACTAACAGCTTGTCTCTGGTGGTCATTCAGGTGAGTCAAGTCAACAGGTGGGTCCCATTGTTCACTTTTAGGTGTGTTCTCACCTGAGCTCTTAGCCTGGATGGGACGGACTGATGCAGTAGGGAGGCAGTCAGTTTTGAATACATTAGTAGGATATATTGATGCAACAGACTGCACAGTTCCAATAACAGTCCTACTTGGCAGTATGATGTCATGGCTGGTGGGATTTTGTACACTAATGACAATTTTTGGTGTCATACCAGTCTTTACTAAAACAAGGGTATCACAGAACTCGAGTCCTTCAGGCCACTGTGGGTTCTCATGAGGCTCGAAGATCAGGGTTCTATCTTCTTTGAAAGGTGGGGCTTGCACTCGACACTCGATTTGGATGGAGCTGTGTTTAGGCACTTCAACTCTCTCATTTGTTGTTCTTACACTGTGCTCACATGGCTGTCCCACTGTCACTGCATTAACAAAAGCTCTTGCCCTACTCTTTCTGAGGTGAGGAAAAGCTACTTTTACTGTTTTCATGAGTTTCTCTTTATTCTTATTGTTTGTCTTATCCTGTACTCTGTTTGCAACTAGGTGTGAAATCACATTGAAGCCAATTATGGGGCATGACTGTTGGTTGCCTTTTAACACTAACACAGGTATTAGCAGATCTTTATCATTAGCAGTAAGTCTGAAGCTTACCTCGAGCCAACCAATATATGGTATTTCCGTCCCATTGGCTGCTTCAAGTTGCAGTGGTTCAAGTGGGTCTACTAGTTCTGCTATATCTCTTAGTTGGACATCAGGCAAATGGGTCTGTTTCCAGGCCGCATCTACAGCACAAATTTGTGAACCTGTGTCCCAAAGTGCCTGGATTCTTTGGTTGTGCAGAAAGCACTGAATGAGACATTTCTCTCCTACAAGCTCTTTTACAGTAGGCATCTTCACTGGATTACTTCTTTTCCTACACTTTGGTTTGCAACTTGACTGTGTTTCCTGTTTCTTAATAGATGAACATGTATGTGGCTTACAGTACCTTCTGTGCACAGACCAGTGTGTCTCTTGACAGTCTTTTGAGCAGTACAATGTTATTTTACAAACAGAACAACATTTTAACTTCATACTCTCTTCCTTTCCCTCACAGTTAGCACAATATTGGGACTTTTCAATGCTGTCGGTTGCCCCATGTCCCGTGGGAGCAACCTCCCTTAGTTTAAAGGGCTCCCTTTGTCTGATTTGGTCAGTCTAGGTGCTTTACAACCTGCACGGAAATGCTCACTACTCCCACACCTAAAACAATGCTGGCAATGTGCCTCACCTGCCTGCACACATGCAAAACATCTGGGACGGTGACTTGGTGAGGGATAATATCGCTGTGGTGCGAATCTTTGTTGAAACTGTGCTGTCCCATGCACATGCCCAGGTCCATGTGCTGGTGGTGGTATTCCTGTGCTGCTGCAGGAGGGTGCTGGTGGTAAAATGGCATGCAGTTTTGTTCAGCCTTAATGGGGAAAGGCTGCTGAGGTGCTGGGGTTGTCTTTTGAATGGTTTCTCTGATTTGGGAAACTTCAGCCCTCAAGTCTTTCAGCAGCACCATGTCAGCACGCATTTCCTTTATTTCTGTTAGAAGATCAGGGGGTGGAGGGGCTGGTTTCTCTTGAGCTGTGCTTCTCTTTCCCACTGGGGAATCATTAGACTGGACAGTATTTACAGCTGTTACTCGTGATGGAGCGGCATGTTTCTTTTTGTCCTGTCTTTCCTTTTCATTTGCGACTGCAATATTTACCTTCTCGAGCAACAACTCATCTGAAGTATTTGTTTGCAGGAGGTAAGGTTGCAGGTCACTTTTAATATTGTCATTCTGAAGACCAGTCAGGACAGTATGCATAAAAAGGCTCTGAACTAGTGCTGGATCATACTTTAGACTGGACTCAACTTCCTGAGAAGCAAACAGGATTTTCTGTCTCAAGTCCATTGCCCTGATCAAGAAATTTTGGGGTGTCTCTTTACTGCTCTGAACCTCAGAGGTAAGTTGTTTGTATAACTCTGTGGCACCTTTCTCCTGGTAATGAGACCTGAGGATTCTCCTAAGAGCAGGTAATGTGAGGTTTTCTTTTCCTTCAAGATAACTCCTTAGCTGCAAGCCTGGCGTGATAGCACGAATTACAGCATCAGTGATTTCTGATTCTGGGTAGCCTCTATTGAGCCCGCTTTCAATTTGTCTGGCCAGACTGGAGAATGTCAGCCTGTCTTTTTGCCCCGGCTCTCCTATTTGGCCTGATATCTTAAAATCTTTGCGCCACATGGAACTGTTTGGTGCTGTTGGAACAATGTTTCTCACTGGGGTGCGAGGACTTAAGGCAGGATTCATGCTATTCCTCATTTCACCCTCTTTTTGTTGTAAGAGCAGTCTTAATGTCTCTATCTCCTCCTGGCTACTTTCCTGGTCCTGAACAGCTGGATCCACTGTTTCATTCACACCTTGTTTTTTATCCATTTGTATGTCACTTATAATGTCCTGGACATTAAGAAGTTCTGACATACCTTCGTCCTCTCGGGTAGCCAGCTCGGTGCGTTCAAGGTGCTTAACTAAATGCGAGACTAGCTGACTGCGCGTTCTATTAATCACAAACTCTTTTCCTGGTCCTGAGATTTGAAGTACATCACATAATTTAGTCAGCTGCTCTAAAGTCAGTTGATACAGTGTTCCTTTAACCTCCAGCTGTAGCTTTTCTAATTCAGACTCCATGTTGTCAGAGGAGTTAGCACAAGCAGTCAGTTGAGAAATGATCAGACTTAGTTGGCTTTTACTGCCCCCTAGTGGCCACTTTTTCACTTCAGGATACAGATACCAACGTAGGTCTAGCGATGTCTCTGCTGCTTTACTATGCTCCTTTCTGATACCTGGGTCGTCTGGGGGGGATGATCAACGAGAGGATTTCTCTTACAGGTCAGGGATGGTCCTCGAATCAATCATCCCAGCGGTGCCTCCAAATGTTGTGCCCTTAAACAGGGGAAATAGTGAGGAGAGGTGAAAGAAAGGCACAGACACGCAGCTCTCACTCTCACTCGTCTGTATTGAGTGAAGGAGGAAGCGCGCGAACCCACCTACTGGAGCCCTGAGGCATTAACAATGGATCGACGCACAATCAACCCAGGCAAAACTTTCACTACTTATCTCCCTCTATATTCCCACTGCATATTCTATTCGAAAACAGTCAAAGCAACAAATAAAACATTAATAAGGGCATGACATGAAATGTAAGGAACAGAGATGTACAACTTCAAAACTAATCAAATTTATGATCCACCACAAGGCAGCATAAGAGTAATAGTTCAAACAGAAACCTAAACTGGACATAAACTAAGGAAAAGCTATGGCTGGAGATACGGAACACAGGGGGTGGTAACACAGACGACGCGACACAGACTACATGAAACACAGAGACTAAATACACAAGAGGGATGATCAGGGGAAGTGGCCACACATGGGAACACAGCTGACACAGATAAACATAACAAGACATGGCAGGAGTAAACAACACTGACGGGAGACTGTCAAAGTAAAACAGGAAGTACAGAGGTTCAAACAGGAGGAGAGAGAGCACGGGGAGAACACAGACATAACGGGCTGGGAAAACATAGAAATAAACACAAGGAGAGACGAGGGCTCACAGATACACAGGGGCACACAGGAGGTAATCAAATAAGGACCATCTTAACTAAATAATCCAAGGCATGACTAGGGAATGAAATACAAAACACACAAAACTGCGAATACTGGGCCCACATGGCCCGGGACCATGACACAGGAGGCAACAGCGCCATGTGAAGAGAGAGGCTGGCACAGTGGTGTGGCTCTGGATTCCAGGCTGACTACAGGTGAGGTTGTGGGGGTGGGAGCAGACACTGTGGTGTCGAATCTATTGAAAAACAGATTCAACTCGTTAGCTCTATTCTCACCTCCCTCAGCTCCCCTGCTGTTGGTTGGCCTGAATCCAGTGATGGTCTTCATGCCCCTCCACACCTCTCTCATGCTGTTCTGCTGGAGTTTCCACTCCAGCTTCCTCCTGTAATTGTCCTTAGCCTCTCTGATCTTGTCCTTTAGTAACACCTGGACCTTCCTCACCTCCTCTTTGTTGCCCCCTCTGAAAGCCCTCTTCTTGTTGTTGAGGAGGGCTTTGATGTCCTTAGTCACCCACGGCTTGTTATTTGGGTAACAATGAACAGTCTGAGCTGGAACAATGGAGTCGGTGCAGAAAGTTATGTAGTCTGTGATACACTCAGTAAGCCCATTGATGTCCTCGGCGTGAGGCTCACAGAGTGTTTCCCAGTCGGTCACCTCGAAACAGCCCTGTAGTTCTGCTAAGGCCTCCTCTGACCACCTCCTAACAGTCCTGGTGGTCACAGGTTCCCTCCTCACAATTGGCACATAGCGGGGGTGAGGTGAATCAGGTTATGATCTGACCTACCAAGTGGGGGGAGGGAGGAGGAGCTGTATGCATCCTTGACATACAGTAGTCTAAAATTTTCTCTCCCCTGGTGGGACAGTCCACATATTGTCTGAATGTTGGTAGTGTATTGTCCAGTGATACATGGTTGAAGTCACCCGAGATCACAATAAAGGCACTCGGGTGCTGAGTCTGTAACCGAGCTATGGCAGAGTGGATAGTGTCACATGCAGCTGTGGGGTTAGCAGAGGGAGGAACATAAACAGCCACCAAGATGACGTGAGAGAATTCCCTGGGTAAATAATACGGCCTGAGTCCAACAGCACACAGTTCAATGTGTCCGGGCAACAAATCCTTTCTTTGATTGTTATGTTGGCAGGGTTACACCACCGGTTGTTAACTAAAGCAAGCCCACCTCCTTTCCGCTTACCGCTAGCGATGCTGTCCCTGTCCGCCCGAACAGTGTGGAAGCCTTCCACGGAAGCATTCTCATTGGGAATGTCCTGGTGCATCCATGATTCGGTGAAACACATCAGGCTACACTCTCGGTATTCCCTCTGACTCCGTACCAGTGCTGAGAGCTCGTCGATTTTATTCGCCAACGATCGCACATTTCCCATCACGATAGATGGCAGACACGGTTTATACCTCCTCCTCGCTTCGAGCCTCCGCTGTCTCACCGTCTC